GCCTGGAGAGGCTGGTGGGAACCAGAGGGAGAGTCTGGACTTAGTCCATGAGGAGCCTTGGAAAGAAGGGCTTTGAGCGTGGGCAGCATGGGGCGACTCAGTGAGTGACAGACAGACAGACAGAGCCCAGGAGGGCTTGCGCGTTGCGGGGGCTGCAAGGAGACCCTGGGCCCCAGAGAGCTGGGTCTCAGCAGAGGGACCCAGGGATCAGGCTGGGAGGGTGAGTGGGTGGCGCCTCCTGGGGGCGGGGTGCTCCAGGCTGAGCCCAGCGAGGAAAGGCTGGAGCGGGCAGGCTGGCGGCTTCCAGGGACCTTGCATGGGCGGATGTCAGTGTGGGCTGGGGGAACGGGTCAGCCAGGCAGGTCTCAGCCCTGGGGCCGAGGGGTCTGGGTGCTTCTGAGCGGGAAGTTTGGGTCTGAACATTGGGTGGCCCTTGGGGTAGGTGGGGAACAGCCTGCCCTGGTGGCTGCCCAGCCTCAGGGGTCCCCCCTCTTCCGCAGCAAGGTGCCCGGGTGTTCGGGGCCCTGGGCCCCATCGGGCCCTCCTCGCCGGGGCTGGCCCTCGGGGGCCTGGCGGTGAGCGAGCACCGGCTCAGCAACAAGCTGCTGGCCTGGAGCGGCGTCCTCGAGTGGCAGGAGGTGAGCGTCCGAGTCGGGGCCCCGGTGCGTCCCATGGGCGGGGGTGCCCCACAGGTTCCTGGGGGTCACAGTGGGTCACAGGCCTGGGCGTCTGAGCTCAGACTCTCGCTCCTGCCACAGAAGCGCAGGCCCTTCTCTGACTCCAACGCGAAGCTGAAGCGGACCCTCCCCTGCCAGGCCTACGTGAACCAGGGCGAGAACCTGTGAGTCCCCGTGGGCGGGCGGGCTCGCGGGCGAGTGGGCTGGCGGCTGGGGGGCCGGGACCCCCCTGACCCTCTCCTCCCACAGGGAGACCGACCAGTGGCCACAGAAGCTGATCATGCAGCTGATCCCGCAGCAGCTGCTGGTGAGCCCCGCCCCAGCCCCCCGAGCCTGCTCCCCAGGGCACCCCACCCAGTGGTGACCCAGCTGTCCCTTGTCGCCCCCAGACCACCCTGGGCCCCCTGTTCCGCAACTCGCAGCTGGCGCAGTTCCACTTCACCAACCGAGACTGCGACTCCCTCAAGGGGCTCTGCCGCGTCATGGGCAACGGCTTCGTGAGTGGGCGGCGCGGGGGCGGCTGAGGGCCGGGCAGGGGCTCCCCCGGGCACTTCGGTGACGGCTCTGCTGGGACAGCCCAGGCGGGGCCCCGGGTGAGCTCTCCTAGGGGTTGGGGAGTGGCTCTCGCTTGAGGTCTCAGCCCGTCTGTGGAGCCGAGTGAAGGCGCCCGCCCGCCTCGGGCTCCCCGGGTGTGAGCCAGGGGCCTGGGGAAGGGGTGACCAGGAGGGACTGGTCTGTGCTGGGGCTCGGCTTTCTCACCCGGCAAGTGGGTAACAGGACTTTCCCGGGGCCCCTGGGAGGCGCGGGTCTGTCACGTGGGTGATTGGCGGGCAGAGTGAGTGCTCGGTAACCGCCAGCTGCTCAGACGTGTTGGGATGTGGACGCCGGATGTCAGGAGTTGAACTTGACCCGGGCCTGGGTGTGAGCAGCACCCTCCCCAGGGGGTGTGGCCTGATGTGGGAGCAAGTCCTCTGCCCAGGAAGCCCGAGGGCTCGGCTCTGGGGTCCCCTGCGTCCCTGTTCCTCTGTGGAACGGGCCACCCCCTCGGGGGGTGGAGGGGCGGGTGCCATGTGTGCCCCGACCCGATGCCCAGGTGGGTCCCCTTCCCTCGGGGCCTGGACAGGCCAGGGGTGACGTGGGGGTCTCCTGTCTGACCCCTTCGAAGGGCCTGCTTTGTGCCTGGCCCCGGCTGCAGGCACGGTGGGCCTGTCAGTCACTCTCGTCCTAGTAGGTGTCGGGGAGGCCAGAGGCAGGTCCCGTGAGGGAGGGGACCAGAGGCGTCAGGCAGGCGGCACGGGGTGTTATGGGAGGCGTTCCCCCCCTTTGTCCGGCACCCCAGTGGGGACATGTCAGGTTCACGTTCCCCCACGTCCGAGGGCACTGGCATCTCGGTCAGGAGCACTATGGCGTTTACTGGGCGCACTGCTGGCACAGGTTTCACAGTGGAGGAAACGCAGTAACTTACCTGAGGTCTCAGCTGGGAGGAAGCAGGTGGCTGGCCCTCCTGGCGGCTGCCCTGGCACAGGCAGCGACCTCGGCAGCTCCATGGGGCGGGGCTTGAGACGGGGCGTGGCGGACAGAGCCCTAACCACACCCACACGTGGGCCCCAGGCCGACCTGATTCAGGGTGGGGGTGAGGTGCAGGCCTCTCACGCCGAGACCTGGGGGTCGGCTCAGAGGATCTGTCCATGGCGGGCAGGCGTGGGGGTCAGGGAAGGGCATTCGCCCCCTCAGCAGTGCCCTGGGGTCCCTGACCTCCGACCTCCCCCCAGGCGGGCTGCATGCTCTTCCCCCACATCTCCCCCTGTGAGGTGCGCGTGCTCATGCTCCTGTACTCGTCCAAGAAGAAGATCTTCATGGGCCTCATCCCCTACGACCAGAGCGGCTTCGTCAACGCCATCCGGCAGGTCATCACCACCCGCAAGCAGGTGCGCCTGGTGTCTCATGCCAGTGGGACTGAAGGGCGGGAGGGACGACAGTGGCTCCCGGGTGTGGAGGGGGAGGGAGGAGGGGGCAGGCCAGGGCACACTGGTCATGGAGGGTGGTGTGAGGCCAGGAGGCCCTGCAGGGCGACCAGGCGTCTCACCAGTGTCCCCTTCTCCCGTGTCCCTGGTTGTGGGACATTTTGTAGCTGCCGGTTCTTACAGGCAAACCCTGTGGGCTTTGTGCCCCCGGCTGAGGGTTGGCACTTGTCTTGGGCACATGGGAGCCATGGGAGGTCTGAGAGCAGGCGAGGAACAGGCCTAGCTCTAGGAGTGTCTGGGGCTGTGGACAGACTGGAGGCTGAGAAGCCCTGGCTGGTCTGTGGGGGGAGGCGGTGGGCAGGCTGGGGACAGGGGCAGGGAGGGGGGGTTGGGGGGCTGAGGCACCAGCCCACACCCCACCCCGTCTCCTGTAGGCAGTGGGACCCGGGGGTGTCGCGGGCCCAGTGCAGATTGTCAACAACAAGTTCCTGGCGTGGAGCGGAGTCATGGAGTGGCAGGAGGTGAGTCCTGGGGCGGCCGGCCGCTTGGGGACCCGTGCACCCCCCTGACTCAGGACCCCTCCCACTCCTGATGCCACCCCTTCCTGTCCCCCAAAGCCCAGGCCTGAGCCCAACAATCGGTCCAAGAGGTGGCTGCCGTCGCACGTCTACGTGAACCAGGGCGAGATCCTGTGAGTGTGGGGCTGGGGGTGGAGGAAGCATCCGGGTGAGGCCCGGCCTCCTGACCCTGGTGCCCTGGTGCCCGCAGGAGGACGGAGCAGTGGCCGAGGAAGCTGTACATGCAGCTCATCCCACAGCAGCTGCTCGTGAGTGCAGGGCGGCTCGGGTCCAGACCTGGGGTCGGGGTGGCGTGGGAGCCGAGCTGGAGGAGGGCCTGCTGGGTGGAGGGAGGCTCCTGACAGGCTCGGGGGCCGGAGAGGCCAGTCTGGCTTTGGGGGGGGTGGGTCACAGGCCTGTGGGGCGGGGCAGCTGTGAATGGTCCCACTCCCTCCGCAGACCACCCTGGTGCCGCTGTTTCGGAACTCGCGCCTGGTGCAGTTCCACTTCACCAAGGACCTGGAGACGCTGAAGAGCCTGTGCCGGATCATGGACAACGGCTTTGTGAGTGGGGTTGTGATGGGCGGCGCCGTTGCTGGGCGGGGAGCAGCCCGCAGGATAGACAGACAGATGCACAGGGCGTTTCAGTGACGACAGATGAACCGAGGGGCTGTCTGCAGAGCCGCTGGGGAGGCAGCAGCCCACAGCGATGTCACGTTTGCTGTGAGCCACGCACGGGCTCCTGGTCCACGCGACTCCCGAGGCTGTGCCGTCCTGACCCATTTTACGGATGAGGAACCTGGTTCCCCAGGTGCCGGGCAGGGGCCCTGCAGGCCCGCGCCGGCCTGTCCCCTCTGCTGCGTCTGCGTTTACTTGGCCCTGGGGTGACCTCACAGCACCTGTGCTCCCGGGGCCTCACTGCACCTTCCTGCTGCTCTACCAGGGCCGGGCACACTCCCTACAAGTTCCCAAGGTAAAACCCCAAGCTCCGGAAGGCCCCTGGCCAGGCGGGGCGGCGTCTCATTCCAGTCGGGCGGCACCAGTCTCCCCACGGCCCACCGGCACCCTCGCTGTCACTGTCCACTGTCCCCATGTCTGTCACGTGGGGAACCTGTTTCCTTTGAGTCGCTGGCGTTGGCACAGGCGTGCGGCTGGGTATTGGAGGCTGCTGTGCGTTTCTTTTGTGATGAGTGGAGAGCACAGAGCTCAGGGCCCGTGTGCCCCAGGTTGGCCTTCCGCCCGCTCACTGGCGCGTCCATGTCATCACTGTTGGCTCAGGAGCAGTGAGAGGGGCGTGCGCTGGGCTCGGCTGGCCACGGGCCGCCTCCTGTCCCAGAGGCGGTGACAGAGCCAGGCCTCCCCTCCAGGCTCCGGGGACCTGCGAGTCCTCGAGCTCTCAGCCTCGGCTGGTGACCTGTGACGACCCCTGGCCTTGAGCAGGGAAGAGCCAGGGAACTGGGCGGGGAGCACGTGGCCCCCGTGCCTTTTGCACCAGGATCCTTATTACACGAAGCCTCGTCCCTGACTGATCTGGGGGCAGCCTCCCTCCCTCCCAGCCTCTCCGAGCTCGGCTGCTTCCGGGCATTGCATGGGGTGAGGGAGCCTTGGTGTCAGGCGTCCTTCCCAGTGAGGTCCCTGCACGGCTGACCCTGAACGCTGCACCCCGTTTTGGGGCCTTCTGTGTACTTGCCCCTGTGGCGCCCCCACAGCAGGTGCCGGCATCCTGAGCTCTTCTGTGCAGAGTCAGCTGGGCCTTGAACAGTCGTCTCTAGGCTTCCATCCCCGTGTCCCCAAGTGGGAGTAGGAACAGGGCCGCGAGGACAGAGCAGTTAGGACGCACTCGGCTCATGTGCTCTGAGGGACGCCGGCCTGTGTGCTTCTGAGCAGGGCCCTTGGAGACCGCAGCTGCCCCCCGAGACGGAGGACAGCGCCCTGAGACGTCTCCGAGGGTGGGGGCCCCTGTGACCAGGGCCGCCTGTGACACTGCCCTGCACCCCCAGGCCGGCTGCGTGCACTTTCCCTACAAGGCCTCGTGCGAGGTGCGCGTGCTCATGCTCCTGTACTCCTCGGAGAAGAAGATCTTCATCGGCCTCATCCCCCACGACCAGAGCAACTTCGTCAACGGCATCCGGCGCGTCATTGCCAACCAGCAGCAGGTCCTGCAGCGGAACCTGGAGCAGGAGCAGCAGCAGCGAGGGGTGAGGCGGGAGGGGTGAGGCGGGAGGGGTGAGGCGGGAGCAGGGCTCCCAGAGCCTTTCTCCTCCGGCCCGTCGCGCTACTGACGCCTGGCTTCTTCCCCCACAGATGGGGGGGTAGTGGCCACCCCCGGCCTGGGCCCCTCTAGGAGTCACAGACGAGGCCCCCGGTGACACTGGTGAGCGGCAGCCACGGGGAGGGCGGCCGGGACCTGGCTGCTGGGGTTTGGGAAGAAGTGTGACCCTGGCTTTGACAAGACCAGACGCGCGGCAGGTGGCAGCAGCCCCTGCAGGAGGGAGGAAAGGGCTCTGCTGGGCAGGGGGAGGCCGTCCCTGGTCCCCAGGGCCCTGCAGCTCATGGGTCCGGGTGGCCCAGTAGGGGCCCAGGGGCTGCTGGGAGCCCCCACCCAGGCCCTCCCTCCGCCCCGTTCCAGGTCGGATGCTTCTGAGCAGGGCCCTTGGAGACCGCAGCTGCCCCCCGAGACGGCGGACAGCGCCCTGAGACGTCTCCGAGGACAGTGCCATCCATGTACGTTTCCCCAATAAAGTCTTTTAAAAGCCCACAGGCCACTGTCCTCAGCGCCGGCGGCCAGGAGAGGCAGTGCGTCCTCAGGTGGGCCTAGTGCTCCACTGGGGTGAGGCCCCCAGCAGTGCCCCCCTCGGCTGGGTGGCCCCCCTTCTTCCCAGCAACGTGCTGGCCAAGCTGAAAGAAAACTAGCATTTATTGGGGGGCAGGGCCGGCAGCGGCTCAGCCCTCGGAGAACTGGCGGTACAGGCGCTCCCGCTGCGGCTCCACGTGCAGCCGGAAGGGGATCTCCAGGAGCTCGGCGAAGCCTTCCGCCAGCGTCGGGGCCTTGAACTGCTTCCTGGTGGCAGAGGGCGGTGAGGCGAGGCGAGGCCCCTGAGCCCCGTGCCCACCCACAGGGCCCACCCGCGGCCGTGCCTACCTGTAGCCGAACATGACCATGTCAGCCACGTGGACATGAGAGGAGTCCGTCATCTCCCGGAACTGGGGGGCAGAGGCAGGCTGGTTAGGGGGGGAGTGGGGGACACAGGGGACAGGGCGGGGCGTGGGCACTCACCCGGTTGTTGTGGCGCGCCTGCTCCAGGGTGGCGCTGAAGTGGAAGCAGCGGCAGGGGACGCCGGCGTCCTGGGCGCACTTGATGTACCTGTGGGGTTGGGAAGGGCCAGGCTGGTAAGGGGCCCTGGGCTCCCCCTCCAGGGGCCCCCCCTCCAGGGGCCCTGGTACCTGGCCCTGCTCGCGGGGTCCGGGTTTGTGTTGTCGATCACGACCCGTTTCCCTTGCTTCAGGGCCGCCTCACACATGGCCACACAGCGCTGCCACGACCCCAGGGTGTCCTGGGCACAGGGAGCAAGCGGGTCACGGGTGGACGGGGACATGGGGGGGGGACAGGGTGGGGGGAGAAGGGGGAGGGACAAGCACACACTGGGGGTGGGGCCGCAGGGAGAGAGCAGAGCCACAGGGGGATGGGCAGGGACGGACCTTACCCTGTTCACGTGGACGTAGCCGGCGGACACCAGGTGCTCCTGGAGGAAGGTGGACTTCCCGGCTGGGGGGCGGGGGGGGAGTGTCAGTGGGAGCTGCCGGGGGTCAGAGCTCCTAGGGGTCAGGGGTCAGGGCGTCTCACCCCCAGGGAATCCCACGGCGACGACCACCTCGGGGTCGGAGCTCAGGAGGGAGCTGGACTCGGGCAGGTAGAGTGGCCCCGAGGAGGAGACGGTCCTCTGGGGGAGACGGACGTGAGGAGGGAGGACCCGAACCCGCCCCGCCCCCACCCCACTCAGCCGCGGGCCTCACCGGGTCAAAGGCTGGGAGCTCGAAGGGCGCCGCCGGCCACTTCAGGAAGAACTCCTCGGGGGTGGCGAAGGGCAGGCCCAGGTTGAGGGCAAACTGGGGGGAGGGGGGAGGTTAGGCCGGTGGGGGCCGGGGGCTGGGGCAGTGTGTGTGTGTTGGGGGGGTGCTCACCAGGCGGTCTGCGCAGGAGAAGTCTTTCTTTTTTCGCTCCGGGGCCCAGTTGCCGGTGCGTCCAGCTGCGTCTGGAAGGCACAGAGGACACCCCA